TCGGCAGCAATTTCTTTTAGATAGGCAGGGCAAGAGCAAGTTGGCGAGCAGCAGTCCAGTTGTTAGCAATAGCAGCTCGTTCGAATTCTTCTAGCCATTCTACTAGGTCTTGGGTTCCATCACCAGTAAAGAAATTAATTTTCATAAGGAACTTTTCACCGCCGGGGGTTAAGGCATTAGCCAACTGGGTCATTGCATTTGCAGCATTGGTTAAAGCAATGTTAGCCATGTTTAAAGAAGGTTGTACAGGTGGTGGTTGTGGAGGAGGTAAATTGTTCTCAAGTTGCTCCACACAATATTATTCTGGGGGTTTTGGAACAGTTAGACTTATACTATATCAGGATCATTTCTGGAGGCTTCTAAAGCCCAAAAACTATATTGATATTTTTATATATCAGGAATAAATCCTGAAGGGTTCTAAAGTCTAGAAACTATATTGATTTTTTGGTTAGATATATTAAGTCTAACAATTTTTTAACCCTTTAGAATGTATTGCGTATGCTTTTAAAGCTCAGGAACTATATCGATTTTTAGTTAAATTTATAACCATATCAGGAATATATTCTAGAGACTCGCAAAGGCCAAAAACTATATTGATTTTTGGTTAGATTTGTTGTCTAATGATTTCAGATTCGTTAGATTTATTTATGAATATTTCTAACTATTCAAGAATTGCTTCTAAAGAGATTTAAATATTAATTAGCATATCAAGAATCACGTAATTAATTTAATCTAACAAATTTTTCTATATACAAGAATGCCTTCTGTACAAGCTAGCTCATTAAATAGCATAATTGTTAAATAAATCTAACGAGATTTTTGTCCCAACTTTGAAAAAATTTAAGTCTAACTATTTCGTCTTGCCAGGAATTTTATAAGTCTAACAAAAAAATATATATCAGGAATTGGCTTCGCGCTAGCTAACTCCTTATCTAATACATTATTCATTTAAGTCTAACGATTCCGCCCTGCCAGGAAATTTATTCTGGCCAACATCTATTACAATATTCTCACTCTTTTAGTTTAATTGGATAGAGGCATTCCTTACAAAGAGAAATATTAAGATTTGTAAGCGCATCTCTATGAGCAAGCATTATTTCCTTATAAGTTTTTTCTCGTGTCTCAGATCGAAGTCTTTCACGTATTTTAGATCGAAGCCTTTCTTGTATCTCCAATCAAAGACTTTCTGATCGAAGCCTGACATAAAACTGAATAACATAATAGCCTCTGACATGATCTGGGCATCGGCCACAAGCAGAAGCAGTTGGCTTATCACAATCAGAGCATGGAACTCATTTTTTTGATTTTTAATGAAATTGGCAACCTTCAGGGCAAATGCAAGCTCTCCTACAAGCCTTTCTGGTATTGCAGAGATATAGGCAAGAATATTCACCGATCATTCTATTTTTTATTACTAAATTTTGAAAGATTAATTAATAATTAGTTAATATTTCAGTTTTGGGAAGGATAGCTAGAACCATTTTGGCAAG